GTCTACTTCCAGAATCTGTATTGCTTTTGGTTACAAAAGTGGTTTTTCCGGGATTTTGAGCAAGTTTTCTAAGAGCCTCGAAAAAATGGGTCTTCAAATAGTGGTTTTTTCCTGGATACTTATGCAATTAAAATTTTTCTGAAAACACAGCTTTGTAGAGCAAACGTTTCTGATCAAAATAAGACTTCGCACAACTCTGTATGACCTTGCATCGTAAAGTTACAGACATTTTCCTAGAAGTCATAAAATCGATCATTTCATACAGCGTTTCACATAGCGTTTTCGCTATATAAGAGTTACACCTGAAGTGCGCCCCAAGTTTTTTAATAGCGGTTTGTCGTAGAGAGTTCATTCTTTTTTTGTTTAAAAGAGGAAAAAAGAATACATCGACTGATCGGCGTCGATTTTTGAATTAGGTCTTAGTTTTTTNGCAGGTTGTTGGTTGCCTGGAAAACCAATAAAGGCTTAATTGAAAAATCGGCGCCGGTCAGTCGATGTAGTTAGGTGTCTAGTTTAAAATAAAACAAACCGGAACTCTCCAGCTTGAAGTATAGTAAAAAATCTTGGGACGCCATTCAGGGTCCTTTTTGGACCTTGATCTCTGGAAAACTCCTAAACCGTAAGACTTGGAGACAAAAAAATTTTTTCATCCCAGTAACTCATTGTGCCGAACATTTATGGAAAGTTTCGTCAAGATCGGATGCACGGTGTAGGAGATAATTTCTGAGAGAGGGGCTCTTAAACAACTCTTTTAGAAGAATATTGAATTACTTTTTCTACTGCAAATATATTCCATTCATTAAATACATGAGTTAATCTATCTAATCCACCTTGATGGAAATACAGCACTTTATACTGACTTTCACACGAGGCTATTACTAATTGACCACTGTTGGTTAATTCATCACAATAAAATAAACGTAATGAATGCATTTGACCTAAATAGATAGAAAAGATGAAAACGTTTACTTTTGAAATAGATATTAGATAAATTCACCTAAATTCATTGAAAATACTCCACAAAATTGTTCTACAACTGATTTCATTTGTTCTGTACCGTGTGCCATTGGATCATCTTCTATTAATAATGCATTGTGTTGTTCATAGATACCTGCTACATCTTTCCATGAGGTTGTTTTGAGAATTGGTGGCTGTTGTTCATATTCATCAGTGATTAGAACATCATCGTCATTATCGTCGAGATTGGTAAATATTTCAATATCATTCTGTTCGTCGGGACCTTCCGTCGTTTCCGATATGACCGATTCATGTCTATTCGATTCATCACAGGCATCTTCGAAATGATCATCAGGATCATTTTCATGGTTATTAACTTGAATCTGAGGTGATGGTGAAAATAGATGTTTTCTTATATTGCTTGAAAATAATGTACTTTCTTTGTGTGAACTACCGCATAAACGAACGAATTACGAAACGAGTCTCTGGGGCGTTTTAAATTAAAAATTCACAACTTATTTTTCATAGATCTACGTGTTATAGTTTTGTTTCATGTTTTTTTCTTTAATGATATCTAAATTTTTATTATTAACGTAATTATTAACATATTAAGAATCAAAATCAAAAGAGGGGAAAGAAAAATTGTTATGCATTAGAGGTAATTATCTACCGATCAATATATTTAACTATTTTATTTCTAATATGTATTTTTCGTTTTGTTTTCCACTGGATTTTAAAAAAATCCCAAAGCTCATAAATGAACATTATCTTGAGCCAAATTTTGCTCAGAATTTATCCACGCATGTCGGAAAAACATTTCAGAAAATACATGCTGAATATTTTTAAAGTTTTTTTGTTTTTTTTTTGTTGTTGTTCGCCTTTGTTAAACACATTTAGGTTGTTGAAAATAAAAAGAAAATATTGATTATACCTTTCTTAATGTTTTCATCGTTAAATTTTGATTTATGACAAAGTTCTAAGCTTGTTGACTTGTCTATCGGGTGTGACATTTACAACATGGCCAGCATTACAATATTAGATTTTCGCTGACTTTGACCGTAACCTTTTTTACACAATGTTACGTTCAGTGAAGAGAAATTTTTGTTTTTATGTATTAGAGAAGTGAATTCTTTCAGGAAGATGTCTCTTTAAATGTGCAACATATTCTTGAAAAAATCATTCAATTGGTTGGTTTAAACTATATTTATTAAATCGTTCGGTTTCGCTACAAAAAGAAACCTATTTGCGTTTACAGCACAGCAAGAAATGAGTTAGGGAAGAAACTAACATAATAAACAAGGAAACAAAATAAATATGGCAGCATTCTGCTCACTATTTCTAAATATTTACGCCATTTTAATGGGAAAACTTTGAAATTGAAAGTTTCTTAAAATATGTGATTTCTTTTATCAGGGGGTCTAAAGGTTAGAAGAGGTGGGGGTAAACAAACCCTCCCGTTAGTAGAATATTTAAAAGTTATCGTTCATTGCACTGCTGTTTTACCCTTGAAATCACGGTATGAAAGGAAAAAGTTTAATCGTTCCCACAGCTTGAAAAACAAAAGATTTTAATGGTGGAATAACAGGAAGCGTCAATTATTGGGAGGGGCCAAGGACTGAAAAAACTATCCTTTGTTCCCTTGGAGCAAGCGTCACTGTCTGCCGTTTCCAATGGTTCTTACATCCTTTTTAAATAAAATTACTGATGTCGCAAGGTATTGATCTGACTCCTCTCACCATGTTCATACAGTCTCGAAAACCGAATTTGATGATCAACACAAATTTGGTGACTTTTCAGGCTTGTATCTAATTAACATCTAATCTGTCCTGCCTTTGTGAATTTATTTTATAACTGCTAAATAAAAATAATTATAATAAATGAACCAGAATAGCAAATAACAAATAAATTATTGAAAAGTAATAGAAAAACAATAGTCTGTCCCATCGCAGTGTTATTTTAAACATATCTTGGAGACTAATAGTCATTAGTCATCGAACGGTGACTGCAAGAGTTTTTTCAGAAAACGGTACCTGTAAAATAAACAACGTTTCACAAATTTTCAGCAATCTCATTAACAGTTTCTTTATCATTCGTATCTGAACTTTGTTCTTCCTCTTTCAAAAGTATTTCTTCATTTTCAGTGTCTTTAAGCTGCTCCGATGATTGTACTTGATCTTCAGCATTGTTGCTTGATTCCTCATGGATCGGAAGTGGAGTCGATGACGATGGTAGTATTGTTGTCTCGCTTTTATGTGTTGTATTTCTAAGTATATCTTTCAATGGTTCCATACAATAATCTATATTTAGTCGATTCAATTTTGCTTTTTCACTAACATCCAGTATTGACAAACCCAATTCTTTCGCTAATTGTTGGTCAGGAAACAGAACCTGTAAACAGTTATTGATATATGGCATCAAGATAGTTACATAAATATTTAAAAAATCAATAAATTGTTCAGTTTCTAATTTGGTTAGTGCCACTTTTTCGGAATTGTAGTAAACAAACAATAGTTTTGATATTTTATACAGCGAATTTATTAATGAATCTTTGATTATCTTAACGATTGATAATGGACAACATAAACGTAAATCATTGAATGCATTTAACAGAGTATTACAATAAAATGCTAACGGAGTATAGGAAACTAATATCATGGGTGGTATAAATGGATTTGTTATTACAGTCGATGTAGAATCGTTCGTTGACAACGATGGTGATTGGTTTTGTTGCTGATCGAATGTGTACGAATGCATAATTTGTTCAAATATTGAATTGGCATCACTAATAGAATTTTGAAAATTAGTCACAGCTGAATTAGAAAAAAACCGCACAAATAATGGACGAAAATCGAAACCATAACGAGAAAACGATGCACCAAAATACATCACTTGACCAAGAAGAGATTCAAGACGTTGATATTGAGAACCTAAAACAAGAAATATATAGTACTAGGAGGCTATTATACTACTATTAGTACTATATTAGCTATAACAAGTTACAAATTTTTGTTGGTTTACCAAGTAAAGTGACAAGTAATGGGTTTCCAGGCTGTTTTCACCTAATATTAAAGCGTTCACTATTCGCTCAATAAACATCAGAACGAGTTCAAAACTTCAGAATGTAGAGTATTTAAGCTATTCTATATACTATTTATAAGAGATCTCAATTTCAGAATCAGAAATCTTACAAAACTCTAAGGTTTTCCAAAAGGGTTTCTGGAAAATCCAATAACAAAAATATGCTTTTTCGATTTTTCGGTCTCATAATCACGTTTAGCGGACAGAATTAATCATATCCTGAAGTTTTGAACTCGTTCTGATGTTTATTGAGTGAACAGTGAATTTTTTAATATTAGGTGACAACAACCTGGAAACCTAAATATTCATAAAACTCGCTTTTCGGTAAATGTTTAGAACTTATTCTAAAAATAAACATTGCCACGAGACTCAGCATGATCGATTGCCTATAGTACATCCGTTTTCAAGGCTCCCAATAGTCAGTGGGTGCCAGCCCTGGGACTCGTAGGATATCCGACACAACGCCGGAGTCGCGGAAAATCAAGACTTCGCTCGACTCTCATTTTGAAGAGGACGCCTTGGGCTATCAGACTATTGAGAAAAATCAATACAATCCTATTGAAAAGTTTTTACACGCAGCCTGGTTTTCCAAAGATCTCCTAGAACCTATTTCAGAAAACACTTATGAAAACATGCCTCCAAGTCTCCTCATCTACATGGCGAAAGCTAGTTTTTATCAGAAGTTATTCAAAAAATATCCGAGTACTTTCTATTTTGAAATAGATAGTACTTTTTAGAAATATTTTTACTTGTTATCAGTCACAAATTAAACAAAGATTCATTCATTGTTACTTGTCACTGGTAACAGTAATGATAATACAAAAAAATACATTTTTCCGTCGAAATATTTAATGCTAAGTTTGAAATACGCGAATTCAAAATACTTGCTACAGTATGATTCGACTTGATACTAGCATAACCTACCTGCACAATGTTGTAGATCGATTTGTAGTACATGCAAAAATTCATTTAGTCTATGTATTAACCATGATCGAAATAAATTTGTTTCTTTAATATATTCATTTCTATTAAATGTCACATACAATGTTGTGTCATCATCACTAAACAGCGCTCGATATTGTGTGACAATATCAAATAGAATATTTCTTGTTTCATCAATATATTTCGATGCATGCTCATAATAATCATTTTGATAATTTGTATTAATCAATTGTAAACGTTTATTCAAATAAGTTGTACGTGAATGTAGAAAAACGAATCTTAATTCTAATTCATTGAATATATCCATTCGTCGAATAAAGCCCATTATTCTTAAACATGCTGGCAATTGTATTTGCGCTTGTAATTGTTGTTGTAATTGTTCGAGCATATACTCTAACGATATTCGAACATCCTGAATAATTTGTGTGATTATTGGAATTGTCGTAGCGGATGGTTGAGGCGTTTTCTCCTTTACAGTGCGACTTTTTGTTGTTGTTGACGTTGACGATGAAAATTTTCGTTCTAAATGTGGATTAGAGATGACATGAATAGAGATGCGCTGAATAAAATATCGCTACGTCAACAAGATAAATCAAACAAGATCACTTCTTCAACTTTTTCTTTACTTTTTATTACTATTTTATATCTTGACTTTCTGCTCATAGACTTACCTAAACGTTTAACGTATGTAACTAATTCTAGTGCTTCATCATAATAATCGTTTCTCACACATGTATCCATCAATTGTGGAATTTCTAATATTTCTAATAGTTGTGAATATTTTTGTAACGTGTACATATTCTGCTTTCGTAAATAATTTGTTTGTTCTGTTGATTTGGTAAAATTTGAACAACACGACGAGAAATCATCTAATTGTAATAGAATTTTAGACAAACGTTCTTCAATTAATTGAAAATCATTTGAAATATTTTTTGAACATTCAGCTGTACGGATAAATGTGCCATAGTGATCAAACGTTAACGTTAACATATCATTTTCCAGTTGTGATTTTTCATCGCGTAAATGTTCTGTTTCACGATATAAACGTTCAGTATCATATGTAAATAGTTGTTGTAAATAAGTCAAATAGGTATCAGACAAGGTAGAAGATGTTTGAGTGGATGTTAAATCTGTGCTATTTGATGTTACAGCACTATTACCGAGTGATTTTGAAAATGATTCAGCATTTTCATTTAAAAGTGATAACAAAAGACTGTGTTCATCTACCAAATCCATTTCTGAAAACTAAATCTACAAAATAAGCTAAGATTTATTAGAAACTACCGTATAATAATGTCATGCATTTCTCAAGCGTTTTTCAATAGACATCGAACGTATCTAAAACACTAAAAAATAAATCGTTTGTCTTTCAAAATTATTTTAGTTTCCTCTTAGTTACAAAATATCACATTATTAGATACAAATAATCAAAAAAGAAACAGATTAAATTAATATCGTACTACACGCATACACAAAAAAAGAACGAAAGAGCAGATTCATTCAAAAAAATTTGGTTGAAACTGCCTAAGTATATTGGTCAGATGAAAAATATCACCACTGTATTGCTTAATCCATTTGTCAAGGATGATAATACAAAATAAATTATGAAAATAAAGTTTTAAACTACACAAAAAAATATATAGTTTTTAAAACACAGCAATAACTGACAAAAACGAAACGATAGAAAAATCAATCAGACTAATATATCTTTTAAAAAAACGTTGAAAAGTAGTATTTCCATTACTATAAAAGTGTTTCTTACGAAAATTTAGATAAAATAATGTTTTATTCGATTGTATTCGTTGAGTATTTTTAGTAACTCATCAAATAATGTGAAATAAATTTAGGTAAACATGATAATAAGAATAATTGCAATGCAACTAACCAATGTCCTGAGCTTGTTTCTGTTCGTCCCAATTGTCTTAATATTGTATCAATATACAATTTTGGATGACATGATCCCCATGTAGAATGAGAACTACTATTTTGTTCATATTTAAATAATATTAGTTTTCGAAATATTTCTAATGAATGACTATCAACAGTTGCTTTGATCCAGGATGGTGGAAGATAAACAGTTTGAAAATGAAGCAAACCACTATTAGAATAATCTTGTTTGCGTGAATTGAAGTAAAGACGTAATAAATTATGTAAACTTGATTCCATACATGAACGATGCGGCATTACATTTAAGACATAAGCGGGACGAGAACGAACTGACATATAGGGAAGAATCTAAAATGAACAGAAAACAAAACAATGTACTACCTTTTGATAAAACGATATATGAAAAAAGAATTAACAATACACACATTACTGACGCTCATACTACTTTACTCGTCAAATAAACGTCTTAAGAGTATAACTCATACTTACTAGGTAGGCTAGCTGCATCGGTGGCACTAAATAATTATTTATGATTGTTTGCATTTCACATGGATTCAGTGTTTTTGATAGATTCCGATCATCAAATGGTCTTGTACAATTGATGTAGAGTACTAAATTTGAACTTCTCGCGATATTTTCAATTGTTTCGAAACGATCGAATGATCCAACACGATGGAAATTTGTATTATGAGTTACCAACGATATCTGTCCAACAGTTAATGACGATGCTGACAAAGTATCTTCTACATTCGTCATCTCATTATTCCATCTATAGAGAACAGTTACTGTTCGAATTGAGTATGTTTTTTGAATGTATGATGATAACTGCTCCAAATGATCTTTTAATTCATCTGTTGAAACTAATATGAGATTATAACCACGGTTCTAAGTAAAGAAAAGAAGAAACAAATTTCCATTTATTTTATTCTATACTTAGTATCTACTTACAGCAAGATTTTGTGCAAAAGCATATCCACACGGAGTAGCGGCGTCATTCAAAATTGCCCAATGTTCACTATAATCAACATCACTTGTATTATTTGTGTTTGATAATGGTATTTTTACCAAAACTGGATTGATTTGGTATGGAAAAAAATATAATTTCAATATTCTATACGTACGATAGGGTAGTGGAAGAATTTTTTTCAACAAATAACAACCCGCTAGTAATGCGAGAATGTCTCGACATGGTTTATATATAAAACTGAGATCTTTGACTAACAGTTGAGCATCTTTAAGCAATAGCTGATATAAAAATTCAAATGAATCAATAGATGTAGGTAGTTCAGAGTTGTTTGTTAAAAATGGCGATGAAACAAGTGCTGTTCCTATCGTACACATTAAAATAACATTAATCTAAAAGTTTCAAAAAACAAATTAATTCAAAAATACTGGATAATTGAAACAATGTCTCTAACACTTTTCATTAGCTACACTAAACTAATGCAGTGATCATGGAAATACTCTCTTTTTACGTATCTTATAGTTCACAGACGGTTAAATTGCAGGTTTTTGGTACCACAGTATATCGTTAGAGAGTAAGTCTCTCAATATTTTTCTAACAAGAAATGTATGTGTTTTTAATAAGAAACAATTCTTTAAGCAATGTTTACCATAAAAACGATTCAAAAGATACCGAAACATCGAGGCTAAACTATTCATAAAATAACACAACAGTAAAACAACAACAAAAAAATTGAGTACAAACGAATAAAAACAAAGGCAAGTCAGCCGGCTTGAGTTCTTTGGTATTAAAAGCTCACACATTATACATTCACCATTTCTCTTGATAAAATATACAATACGATCAAATATTAAGACTTTTTACAAACCTTTTGTTCTAAAAAAAATAAGCCACTATACGTCAAATTGAAAGTGCGTAACTTCGATGATCGATTCATAGTTAGAGAGTATATACACAGAAAAAATATCGATAAAAGAAAAATGAGTGTACAAAAAAAAAAGTTGTATAAAACAAAAGAAAAATACGTAATAGTCTTAAACGAGATATATAAATTATAGAAAGAAAAAATTATACAAAAACAAATTACTAATAATAGACGCCGACAAACAAATCACCATACTTCTCCCTCATAAGTGAGTTGAACACACCTTATACATCAAGCACCGTATAATTTCTGTTGAATTTTTGGTGACAAAGAACATACTATGCTAACTAAAGTTTTCATGTGTACGATTTTTAGAACTTTAGGAGTAGAAAAATACGTCGATCAATTTTTCATATGATCTTGAAAAAGGTTAGCTCATGGTACAATTAGATAAATAACTAATTAACTTTCCTTCCTACAGCAACCATAGTTGCAGCAATACCAAAACTCAAGTTCATCCTCTAATTAAATGTTTATGCTAGTTTTCTAACTTACGATTTCTTAAACAAAAATACTTCTCTATCGGCTCATAACAAAAAAATAATGACTATTTTTTTTCTGAAGTTTTCATTTGACACCTTTAACCCAACTACAGTGGAAGCAGAATTGAAAATGAAAAATAGAACAAATATTGCTTTGATATGCAAAAGAGTGATAAAAACAACTGACAAACAAGACACACATCAAAAAATTACTCGAAGCAGGAAAAACAAATGAGAAAGACGATGACTTTTGTTTGAAACTTTGTAATTGTTATTCTTCTTTGTAATCGTTTAAAAAATCAAACGAACTCAAATCAGGTTCACCACCGACAACCGCTGAAGTGACTGTACTACAATTCACAAGTGATGACTGTTGTTTATAATCTTCACTGCTATAATTCGGATTTGTTGTTGTAGTTTGAAAAAATTTTGCATCAAGTAGTTTTGGTCGTTGTTTATTTAACTTTCCTCTAATTTTCAACTCGTCACCTTTGATTTTAATTCTATGTTTTCCATCAATCTGATCACCGTCAAATGCGTATTTATTAATCAATGCAATATTATCATCATCCGTGCTTGTTGGTGACGATGAATCAGTCAACATTTCAAATGATGAATCATATTGGCGACTAGGTACAAATGCATCTTCACTCTCTTCTTCACTCGGCACATATCGTTGATGAAAACCCAACATTGTTTGACTATCATTAATTAAATTTGGATTACTTTTAATTAAATTTTCTTCATTTATCTCTTCGTCGTCATCACTTGTTGTCAACGATCGACGTTTTTGTTGATGCTGCTTTCTTAATTTCATCATTTCTTCATCATCTTCATCATCCTGATCATATTCAGAAGTTTTTTTCGGTACTTTAACCAACAAATCTTTTCGATCAATCAATGAAATTCTCTTGTACTCCATACTCTGATCTAATTGTTCCAAGATGGGTTTAATTCGTGTAAAAAATTTTTGTACGAGTTTATGATAGACAATACCTGGTAGTGTAAACAATATAAGCAGTGTTATATAAGTAAAATAAAATCCATTAAGTTTTAAGCCGATACCGGCAAACAACAAGCAGAATATAAATAATACTAAGGAATATTTTGCTTTATTTTCAGTTTTCAATGTTGATAGTGATTGATATGCATGACATACGCTACGATAAGAGCGCAATACAAGACGAGTTAATTCACAAAGTTTTTCTTTTTCATTATCATCGGTTTTTTTGAAATGTCGTTTGCGTTTTAAACAATCGAGTATGTGAAATACTAAACAGACGAGTACAACAGCACAAAATGGGCGTAAACCAGCACGCGCAATCGAATAAAATATTATGTGCAAAGCAATGAATGCTAATAGTGTGGCATAACGATTTTTCCAAAATATTAAACGTTCAATTCCTGATAAAAATAGAGAATGTCATTCACATCGGCGTTTAGTAAAAGTACTGATATACTTACGATTAAGAGCAGGTTCTAATGAAATAATAATGTCTTCCATATGTAATAAAAAAATTAAAAGGAAATCTATAATAAAACAGTTACTTTTAACATAATATATTTTGTTTCAAACTATAAAAAGAGGTGGCTTTGGTTCATAATGAGAGCATAGCATGAGCCAAACTGCGATGCTCAACTACTAAGCTGAAAACAAGAAAGATGTTCAACTGAAGATGTCCGACTCATTCAGAAAGCTCTATGTAACCTAGATGACCTATGGACTTTACTTGTGCGAAAGAAAAACTACACCACAGTTGAACCGATTAGAACCCTGACGATAATGAACGAAGATGTCAATATAACTTTTGTGAATAAGTTCATTATGAATTCTATGGACTTGATACCTGCGAATAAGATGTTACACTTCTTTTCTAATTTTTTTATTGAAAGTTGCTTTTATTTTATCACGTTAGTTCTTAATTCTATCTGTTTTCAATTGCTCGTTTCTTCTCTTTCTGTTTTCATGTAATGGCGAAATTTTTGCTGATAAATACTAGAAAAAACGAAAAATTGAACGTAATAGCTTTTTTTGCGAATGAAAAGACAATTTTTACTTAACAGAACTATCACTATATATATGTATATATATATAAACAAAAAAAAAGGACAACTTTTCACAGAAAGATAAGGTCAAATATGACTAACAAAAACGCAAATGAGAAAATTATCTGAACACATTTTCAAATTATTTACAAAACTCATGTCGTCGCATTTATGGTGGGTAAAACAGACGTTGTTGGTATCTGTAGTAAGGGTATGGCCGTCGATCCATCTGTATTTGTTGTAAGTGGTGCCGTACTGCTACTACTAGCGGATGTGATTGTATTTGAACTTTTGTGCTGTAGCTTTAAACGCAATTCAACTACATAATCTAATTGATAACGTTCACGACATTCTAAGCAGAGAAACGAAGACAATCTGTTTAAATGAGACAAGTAAGCATTAGGAAAAACAATCTTTTCAGGACAATTTGTCATATATACCCAAGAAAAATGTTTCAACATCTTGAACGGTTTTTGTAGCTACAACATTAGCCACACAACGATAATCTTTTCCATATTTAGCAAATGCTTGTATAGCTAAGAGTGTCTCATCTGTTGTCCATGTTGAGATGGCTTCATTCAGCTGTTGTTGTGAAGACGAATGACGATTCGCTAATGGTGGTATACGTATTAATTCCATGTCCGTACGTACTAAACTAGACATATAACCAATAAATTGATTTTGTGATTGTATTGTACACCTTTCACGTCGAATTTCATCTTCTAATTGTTCAATAGGATCGATTACATCGGAATTTGTTGAATTATCATTCGCTAAATCATTCGTAGCATTTTCATTGAACATATAATTCGCCATTGCCAATAAACTATTTTGATCAAGTACCTAGTAAAATGAATCGAATTACAATAGTTATCTACAAGTAAAAATTTTGGAACATACCATATTTTTTGGCGGTTTTTTTACTTTTTTCAATGAAGATTTGACCGGTTGTTGTTCTGGTCTCATTAAACCACTACTTGACCAATATGTATAACACTGAAGACACAATATACCCTTTGGGGTTGAATACATTGATGATGCACAATGTGATGTTTCACAGTTACAGCACTCTTGTTCTTCCTCATTTAAATTTTGTTGTTTATCGATGTCCATGGACGAAGAAGTAGCTTCATTTGGCTGTAGGCAAAACCCATTCGTTTTTTTACTTCCCAAATCTCTAAAAAAACAAAATAAGAACAATATTAAGCTAAACATTCGTTTACATCTAATCCTAAAATGCCTAAAATCTTACTTTGTTGGTAGCTGTATGGATGTAATATTTTCATTCATTTCATCATCACTATCGTCACATGATGTAAATCGATGTTGTTTTTCGTGTTTATCCATTAGACTCATTTGTTTACGTGTTTTTTTCCATGAATAATAGTATTGTATTAAATTAGCAATAGTTTTCTCTGGTAACATTTGACGTATTCTTGAAAATATTTTTCCGTAAAATTTATATGCTTGTTCAAATAAACACTTTTCTTCGATTGTCCAATCATCAATTTCTGGCGTATACTGTTGCATTAATATTTTAGCTGTAGATGTCTTATATTTACAGATGTACAAGATGCCAAGTGCTTGTTCTTCACTCATACGATGTTTACTCCGAGCAAAGTCAATATATTCAATTATTTCTTCATTAGCCAACAGTGTTGTTGGTTTCCAAAACGTAATACCATCATGATTAATGACTGATGAAGCAGTAGAGGATGCTGAAGATTGAATGGTTGTAATTAACGAGGGAATATCTGCTTGATATGGACCGCCTTCGCGTATTCGAACGTCAGAATCGGTTATTGAATCATCATTATCGATTGTTGTTGATACACTGCGTTTTGAGGACGGTGTTAAGGTTAATTTCATTATCTATAAAATAGGAATGATGTTTATTCCTTATCATTCAACAAAACAAAGAAAAACCTAGCAGAGCAGGATAAAAATTGTCATATTCTCGTTTGGAAACAGAATAAGCATTTCACAGTGAGTGATATGAGTTATCTCGTCGTCTATAGTTCAATTATCAATTCTACCAAAAGACAGTTCTTTAATAGACTCATCTGTCTTCTTACTTCATTTGGCTAGACAGTGAAATACAAACTGAGGAATCACCTTGTTTGGAAAAAACTTATTGTCTGACAAATAGATACTAGTGATATAGGTCATAAACTTGTGCCCTAGCAGTAGTTGTATTTACAACTAGTCGAAGGAAAATCAGGCTTTTTCGCGAAGAGAAATGTTATATCCTGTACGCAGTATTTAGAAACAATTTGAACAATGAATTCATTTAATTTCTAATGTGTACGACATTCTGGGATCGTTACAATAAGAAAACTGCAGGATACCTGGACTTTATTGTTTCTGCAGAAAATAAGCAGTTATATACATGCTTCGAACATACTTGTAACAAGCAACGAATAACACATAGCTAAAAAATTTACACTCATGCTAACTAAATAAACAATAAGTGGAAGCAAAACTTCAGAAATATATGTAAAGAATTATTGACGACAGATTGTTCTTTCAATAGTATAGTCTTATCTCATTTGATTTGTATAAAAATGTCTTTCTATATACGTATTTATTTTTAAAAAATCATAAACGTTTCACATCACACATGATCTCAGCAAGCATCAACTTCATCATTATCAACAACAATTAGAAAGCGCTCATATAGAATAGATGAATGAATGAGAGCAAAAAAGCGAAAAGGAAAACGATAAATTGTTTTTTTGTATAAAAAGAAATATTAACAACAACACGCTCATATGACAAACTTTTTCTAGGTTTTTTTCTTTACTCATTTCAGAAAATAATAAACCATGTCAATTAGGAGTATCAAACGCTATGCTTTTCATTTTGTTTCTTTTAAAGAATTTTGAATAACAAAAGAAAGAAAAGACATAAAAAAAGACAGATGACGTACAACACAACAGTAAAAAACAGCACGTGAAACCTAGAGACACGGACTGCAAACTTGCGTTCTAATCACGCGTGCACAATGAACCTACTTCTTATCCTTTTAAAAGACTAATATTTTCAGAATACATGGATCAATTTATACACGAACTCTTTAACGAAAAAAAATTGTCCTATATGTTAAATTCATTTTTCTGGAAAAAAACCCGCCATACAACCTTTTTCAGTATCAGATAAACGACTAGTGGTACTTTTGCTACTATCTTCTTTCTCTCTCTCTCATTTGCACATGACAAAGGAAAAAAATAAAAAACAACAAAAATAATATCAATAAATATAAACAAATGTGTCTTAATGTTAGATTTTTAGTTTCTCTGTTGTTTTTGTCGATTTTTTTATTGCCCATGAGGAGTTGGATACAACGAATTTTCCGGTGGTTGTTGTAGTTTCATATTCTCTTTTTGTAGCATGCTTGAGCGTATATCATTTAATACTTGATGAATTGTACTATCACGATTCCAATTTCTAAGTGTCACAACATGTTTGGGATCAACCTGAAAGAAACAAATATAAATGCTTTAAAAATTGTCTCAATACTGAGCAAAACACCAGAAGAAAATGTTCATAGAGTATTGAATAATCGATTTGTTTTGGTCAGCTTCATTCTTCTAGCAAAATTTTCTTGAATCGACAAATACTTACTGTGCCATTCGCTGCTACTCCCGTTAAATTAATACGTGTTAAAAAGCGAACTGTTGGTACTTCGTCTGGATATCTGTCGCCGCAGTGAACTTTCAAACTGTAAATTCTTCCTTCATACGGTGACTAAAAGAAAACATTGTATAAGTCTCTGAACGATCAGGTTATTGAAAATATTTACACGTGGTGGAGCAATTATCATACATATCCACCTTGATAATGTCATATCGTCATTTGACTCAAGACCCCAAGATACCGAACCATCATGTTGTCCTTTTTGAGCTGATTCTAATTCTTCTAATAATTTGAAACTTCTTGGAATAACTTTGAAAAAATCACAACGACAATGCAGAATATACTTGAACATCGAGACAAAATATTTTTACCTGTTTTAGCTTGAAAATTATTTGCCATAATTTTAACTTCGTATCATTCAAATCTAAAACAACGCACTTTGTAGAAGAGAAATAGTAACAACAGCCATCAAGCGTTATAAAATACTATTTTAAACACTTTCGAAAACAGTGAACTTCCTTTAAACAAAGAAAGCAGCGATTAATTCTTTATCACATTTTCATTGACAAATTTTAATCTCAGAACAGTCAGGCTATCTTGTAAACATTGAGAACGGCGTTTAGGCACATTTTAAACAAGATTATTGATATGAATTTTAGCGAGTTCTAAAAAAGAGATTTCGAGATGAAATGATTTAAGCACTCTTTTAGCTTGAAAGTGAACATGAATCTCACTAAAATGTCTTATAATAGGAAAAGTGAAAAAACAATTTTCGTGCTTGATTTAGATAGAGATCATCTACGGCAATAAGAAAAAGCTTGAACAAGGCTTTGTGTTGTATATACAACACAACAAGCGACTAAAACCATGTTGTAGATGGTCATCGATCAACGAACTCTTTTTTCTTTACTCTCTACACAATATACAATGCACTGTGATAACTGATGACTTAAAGAATATAAAAGACGATACAACTGAATCACATAAATATAAAGTCATACTACTGTTCAAATTTGGACAGACCATATGAATGATGCTATTCGTTCTATTTCTTCCACTTTTGTGCTTCCACTAAACCTTCTCGTCTTATTTCTATTCTTAATCGCCGTTCTCGTACTTTATAACGTCAGTCTACTACTGTCAACGTGGCTGAGTTTTGCAAAGTAAGGAATGCTGTTTTTTTTATGTCTATATCGTTGTGAAAAATCTTCGTATCTTTGTTCTCCTACATGTCTCTTTCCTGATCTCAAAAAGGTTTGAAATTCTGTAAAGAACTGTTTTCTGTTTTCTCTCTCTCAATCGATATTTTGGACTCTTCCACTGTATCTTCCGATTCTGATAAAGAAAACTTTTTCTCCTCCTTCTTTAGTCTTCATGGATAAATTCCACCGGCTTCTGTACCAGGCCTCCACCGTATAAATTCATTAGACTCCGGTGTTTCGGATGTTGAACATTTGCTTCGTAAACTGGCTAAAAGGTCTATGACAGGAACTAGTGAAATTTACTTTCTCTTCTTGGTGCGGATATTATCTCTCTTGTCATCTTCATTTCATTTTTTATATTTGTTTATCTAAAGATAATTTCACAGCTATCTCGAAAATCGCTTCAGGCTTTCCCACCCATAAAAAAGATGCTGTTTCTGATATACTTAACTACCATCCTGTCTCTCCTCTGCCTGTTATTAGGAAAGTTTTCGAACGTCTATGATATAATTCTATTTTAGAACATCTGAGTATAAACAACTTTTCTGTAAACCATCAATTTCTGTTTTCGTTCGAAGTGCGCTACACTTGACGCTCTTCTCTATCGTTCTCTTACTGAAGATGACGAGAGATAATATCTGCACAAAGGAGAGAAAGCATCAGGGAATTTTACTTGTTCCTGTCATAGACCTTTTAGCCAGTTTACGAAGTAAATGTTCAACTTTTTAATCTAAATTCTGATGAAAAATGTGGTGTTGTTTCTTTGATTCTTTTCAAGCATTTGACGCTGTTTCTCATTCATTTCTATTTAAAAAAGTTTTCTCTTTGTGGAGTAATCGATGATTTCTTTGTTCTTCTTCTTATCTTTCTGATCGCTCTGAGTGTGCTCGTTTAGATGATTCTAGCTCTTCTTCTGATGCGTCTCAAAGAAATGTCCCTGGACCATTGTTTTTTCCGATCTTTAGTCGCTGTTCTTCGTCTTAAGTGTGATATCTGTTCCTTTGTTGATGGCGTTTTCCTTGTTCTGATCCTTACGACTTTGCCCATGTTCAAACCTGTGTAAATTTTGTATCTGATTGGTTCCTTCTCATCCACTAGTTGCATCAGTTAAGTGTCTTTTAACCATCTCATGACCATGTATCTTTTAGTTTACTTTTCAGCATTTTCTATCTCCTGTTTTATTATATTATTCTTTTTCTCCTACTTTTTTGTTTATATATATATATTTGTTTCTATGTACGCCTAGTCTTAACGAGACTCATCCTTTTATAGATGCATAAGTTCTGATGACCTTTCAACCATAGGTGATTTAAATAAATCGTATCATAAACAAGAGCGAGTAGTTAAACTCGAAAGAGAAATGTTTGAGACAAGAATAATGTATAGTAGTTTTCTTCTTTTCGGAGTTTCCTTTCGTTCCACTCAACCCACTTAATTAATCAAAAGTTAAGAGTGTAGAAAATTAATCATATGTCTGCCCGCAAGACAGAAAAATGACGGTCAGTTATTCAGTGGACAGCCAATCGAAATACTAGTCGCTAATGCACTTATGTAAGATCATAACATATTCGCAACCACTTCGAACTCATTTTTGGCAGTTCTTGTCTCGAAAATTTTTCTACTTGAGTTGCATTCGTTGGAGCTTAATAAGTAAGATAGTTATGTGCCCAACTATCTCTATCTTGATCTGTATGACTGCCTGTATGTCTCGTAAGACCAAGACTATTTTATTCACGAAAGTGGTCCTTATCAGCGCAACGCTAAGATCAATACGTTCTTCTGATTTTATCAGGAGAAACACGTTGATCGTAGCGTTCCATTTGGTCACCCTGCCCCTTATGTGTCTTGTCTTCTAAAATAGGTCACGTTGATAAGGTTAGGTTAGGTCAGTTTGCGAATTTCCATTATCTCTTCTATGACATATAATATAATACATGTACATCTACGCTTATATACATCGAACATGAGGCTTTGGAATTTTACTAGTGTAGGTATAGAATTTGTGTTCGGTACCTCAGAGCATCATAGAACAGAGGGGAAGGAGAACAGCTAGTATGAATGAGTCACGACCCATCATTTTGCCAGTATTTGGGGTGAAGAAAATCGATTTTCTGTACGCAAAACACGGGAAAAAATGCTCGTAGATATTTTATGGATCATCCTCTAAGAATGTAAGAATTCTTAAATTACGTATGAGAGGAGGTGAGGAAGAACAGTGAGAGTGGATGAGACAAAAAATGGACACAATTTTGAGACAAAAATGAGCTACATAATGTGTACTTTCTTTTACCGGTTGTATAGATGCCACTAGTGGAGGGTGAAACTGATATCTTTTGAAAAGACGAGAAATGCGCAAGAAAATATAACTTAAGGCAATGAAAGTGCCGTAGTATGAGTAGCCAAGCATAGTAGATTTAGCAGAGCCATTTCGAGATACCTGAGGGACTTTTAGAAAAGGTTTATGGTTCAAGCGATTTCTGGACTGACCTCGGTGAGGAATGATCAGTGCATCATATCTGACGCCTGAGATCTTTAGTGGGTTTCCAAAAATTTTCGTAATGCCAGCCGTTATAAAGCAGAGATAAAGCGATATGAATGAGAGAATCTTTTCTGAAACATTTCTGTAAAATAATAGATAGATCTTTTAGTGACAGTAAACTGGAATTTATATATGGGTTGCTGTAGTCAATAAGGAAACAAGTGCTAAATCCTTGCTGTGCGAGGGCTCTGAAATGTCTACTAATGCAGAGAAAAAAAACTAAGAAAACATTTTCTGTAATCCCGAGACCGATGTCGCTAGACATTAGTGAACTTTGATAACACAAGAAAAGTCGTGTACGGATTAATAAAACTCACAAAATATATATAATAGTTTGTCCAATGTCTCCAGAGCCACTTCACCTCGTTCCATGACATTTTTAGTTCACCGGTATTGTCTGATTTTATCTTATTTCATTTTTTTCATCTCTTCAGTTCCCACTCTTTCTCTCTTTACATGTTCCTTATCTAACAAAAATAAAAAACAAATGTGAACTGTTTTTGCAAACAATCAAAGAAAAAATTCATAGGACAAGTAAAATATTTTAACAACAAAAAAAAAGACATAACAAATGGCGCAACATAGATGAAAAAAAGTCTGGTCTTCTTTGAAGCATAAAAATCAAGAGCAAGACCTATATTCACTAATGAATTCACATAACACAAAAAAAAAGGCATCATAATCACCACAAATGAGAGCAAAATTCATACACAGAGGGTGCAAAAAAGGTCTGTGGAAAGACATATCGGTAAAATTTCTAGAGAAAATTTGAAAAATTTTTGTTTCTTATTATTTGCACTCTTTCATTCTGTATCCTCTTCATCGATCCATTCATCTTTATTTGTGTCTTCAGTGTCAATTTCTGGTTCGTCGTTTATCATTTTTTTAAATTTTTTTAAATTTTTTCCCACTAAACAAAAAAACACAAACTGTGTGTATTAATAACTATTAACGGTATGACGAAACAGTTATAGATTGGTACTCACATTTATAATGTAGCGGCTCATCAACATCATCATCGTCATCACCATCGTCATAATCATCATCATCTGTATCTGTTGTTGGTTCTTCTGTGTCACTTTCTTCGATATCACTCTCGTCTGTATCATCATCATCATCATCCATAGGTTCTAAGGGTTCTAGTGTTCGTACAATCGATCGTTCATACAACGATGTTACAAAAGCTTGTTTATCTTCCATTGATGCTAATGGCAATTCATCGACACTAACATAATTGGGATACGCTCGTATAAGTACTTTTAATGCTTCGATAACATCACCCTCCACATCCAAAGTACTAGGTGCTCGATCATGATAACTGCGAGCATTCTCCAGATCTAAAATTAGCAGAAAAATCAAAACTGTTTTCTTTTGCTTCATAATGGCTCGCTAACTTTAAATAGAAGTCAGTCATAAGACAGTATTCATCGAATTAGAAATAGCCTTTGCGGACAAGGGATTGCTTTAGACCGATAGATACTTCCGGATCATCTGTAACTTACTATAGTAGGCAATTATTGAACTATCATCATTTTCATCAACTTTCTTCGCTTTAATTGGTGTTAAGTCTGTTTGCTCAACAATATGTTCCAATGTTTTATCGATATCAACATGATTAGCATAATGATTATTTACTATTCTAATACAATGTCGTCGAATAATTCGAATACAGGTATCGGGTGAAATTTCGACAATATGTGATACTTGTAAATTTTTTGGATTCCATTGTTCTCCTTGTTCATGAATTGTTGTGAATTTTTCTTCGAGATTCAAAACAGGCGGTAATGCATCTTGAATAAAATTTTTAGCCATTTCATCACTGGCATGATCATAGTTAGACGGTATATAATCTTGATTTAATTTTTTCAATAAATTTTGGCAATTCATATGAAAGTTTTCACGTTTTTTATTCGATTTTTGTTGTTGTATAAAACCAAAATGATTTAAATAACCCATTGGTAAACCTTGACGAAACTCAACATCGGTCGCCATAGCTAAACAAAAAGAAAAATTTAGGTCTATTAGCTTAGAAAAAAAGCTCAGAAAAATAGGTCTACACTAGTGTAAAAATGTATAGGTTACCTCATACATACAAATTGTTCGTTTTCGTGTGCGAACAAAAGGACTCTGTTCAAAAAGCTCGTCTGTGGATTTTGTGAAGCAGATTGTCTTCTTTTAGAAAACGTATTTTATTTTTATTTCCTGTAAAAGTGACTTCGACCTTGTATCCAACTTTGTAAAACAGAACACACGTTCTAAAAGAAAACAGTCTGCTCTACAAAATCCACAGACGAGCTTTTTGAATAAAGACCCTTTTGTCCGCACATGAAAACGAACAGTTTATATATATCAGGTAAACCTATAAATTTTCACACTACTGTAAAATAATTTAGATATTACGACAATTCATCATGGTACTTTTTGTTTGTGTACTATTAGTCTTGTAGTCCTTCTTCGTAAAGATGGGCAATTTATCTTATATCAGACAAAAAAGTAAAATAATAAACCTGGAAAAGATGCTCACATTCTGACACTCACTCGGAGAGGATTCCTGAAGTCGTCACCTTCTTGTTCTGCGTTTTTTCAGAGAAAAGAGGGTACACAGATAAAAGATACTAAAATCGAATTTACAGGTCACCACCATAATTTGGCAGTCTACTATCCAAATCATCATTTGATAAAAAATTCATCATCATGCTTCAATAAATTTAATCGTATCATCTCTAAAAGCCAAACAAACAAGAAATACCTTGATCGACAGCTTTTGATAATAATATTTTCAAATAATCTCCCCACGTATTCTTTTGATAACAACTGACTGTAAGATGTAATGAATGCATATCATCCAAAGTATTTGCTTGATGGATAAAACCTCGTGGCATATATAATAAATCACCTTTTTCTAATACAGTATCGACAACTGGATCAACATTTAATAACATTGTTTTGTCAAGATCACCACTCGAGTGAAGAGGTAATACTTCATCGGGAGAAAGAGGTGCATACACTTTCCAATGTTTCTTGCCTTCTAATTGCAAAATAAATGCGTCGATATCATCGTAATGTGGAGCAAAACCCGCAGATCCTAGAACGAGGATAAAATAATCAAAATAAACTGATTTTTAAACGCTTTCTAATTTAATTACCTGGCGGTGTTAAATAAACATTTGCACCAACCAATGAACAAAAATATTCTTGTAAACACGATAATAATTTCCATACTTCATCGGAATATGTTTGTGGATTTAACAGACGAATGGAACAATTTTGATTATAGAAATCCCATGCTTTGGCTGCATACACTCGACCAATTGAATTATGTAATTCTTTTTTATTTGTTGTTGGATTATAAAATGTTATATCAATATTATCACCATATTCCAATACATTTTCACGTAAAATTCGATCGAACATTTCTGTTGAGAATAGACCATTATAGTGGGATTTGTTATGTCGTCGAACTAATAAAGATGATTTTTGCCAGGTACGTTTAAAAAATTGTTTTAATGGAATAGGTGAAATGATCAAGCTAAACAAATGCTGACCCATCAAGAAACTATCGTCAATTGGTACACGATCATTAAGCCACGGTTTAAATACTTCTTGTTTTGATCCTTGTTCATCCTTCTAAAAATATAATAGAAGAGTTTCAAAAACTAATTCTATTTTGAGTAATCTTTCTAATATACCCACTGCTTACTTCATTATCATCTGACTCATCTTCTGTTTCTTTCTCATCGCTGATAGTGTCTACGTCACCGTTCAAATTGATTGTCTGTTTTTTTGATGCTGGTATAATAATACGACTTGGTTTCAAAATAGATCTTATAGGTTTATCCAAATTTGATGGCGATGCTTGTACTGTTTGTGGTTGTGTTACTACTGGTAAACGATTTAAATTATTTTTTTGTTTTTCATCATTTTTTCCATGAATCAATCGATTTTGTTGAGCATTTTGTTTTTGTTTCTTTTTCTTTTTCTTCATTGAACGCTTGTTGTTACTACTGTCATCTTTATTGCTATTATTAGGAACAGCAGTGGACGATTTTTGAGAACGTTTTCGTTTTCCTGATCGACCACTCTCATTACTTTGTATTTCAGATTGCAATGACATATTTAATGTACCATTTTCAGTTGGTTTTTGTTTTTGATATATGGCAAACGCTGACATTATAATAAAAATAATTCTAAAGTGTAAATAAAAAGCGAACAGTAATATGATCACTTTTTCACAATTTAACTTCTAATAACTAAAACTTTAATTCCACTCTAACGTATCTGATTTAGAATAAAATTTCACTGTTTTTGACGATACAAATTGCTCACGAAGAAGAATATCAATCTGTACTCGTCATATACAAATAAATCGAAATTACTGCCAAAAAAAAATGAACAATTCTTTATTACACAATATAACTGACAAGATTAAAATTAGTCAACATGAAGAGCAAAAAAATTTGCCTAGATTTACAAAAAGAAAAACATTGTTTAATCGCTAGAAGTCATTATATCTGATATGAGTAATCTTTTATACAATTTCCATATTGATGTGCATAAATCTTTTAAATGTTTTGCACTATTGTATTCATTAATAGCTGTTTCACATGTACTACCAACAGACAAGGTATAAACAGATTTTGGTGAATTATAATAGGAATAATTTGATAATGTCATAAGTGATTTATGACTACTGGCTGCTGTTGTCATTGGCATCTGTGTGTTTACATTTACAGATGTACGATTACTATCACTACTTACACTTGTACTCGATTGACGTTCGGTTAAATTTAAATTTGAAAATATATAATCCTTTAAAGAAAACAAACAAACAATTAATATAGTAAAACAGTGTGATAAATAAAAAAAGCCTATACATACTAATTCTAATGAAAGTGTTTGTTTCATCATATTCTTCTGCGTCTCAGATAACATTGATGAACGCATATATAATGGTACTTGTGATAATATCAAACCTAAACCACGTAAACAGGTGTGAAATAGACAAAAAAGATTAATTCTATAAAACATACTCAATAAATGTTCAAGTGCAAGGACTAAAAATGGCCTAAAAAACATTAAAAAAAGAAATAGAATGATGTTAGATATTTATTATTATATTCTCTTGCTCTGATTTTATCTCATCACTAATCTTGTTGACATACCTTTGTCGAATTAAATGATCGATATCTGTTTCTTTAACACGTGTAGGTCTTGGTGATGTAACTTTAATAAGACTCAACTAAATCAAAGTAAAGGCAAAACAAGAATTAACCCTGTTAGTTAAAAACATAAAATTCAAAACGTACTCTTTCCATTTGTGTGACAATGTATTGTGCACCTGTCAACCATGTTCCAAATGACGGCGCTGTTCGTCGTTCTAATGTTGGCTGATTAAACCACGGTTCAACTAACTTTTTATATGAATCATAATCAATCAATTCATTGTACAATAATGCTTCGTTTAATTCGTTTAATTGGAGCGTACATGGACGTAATGCCATGCAACAATTACACAGCAGTCTCAAAAGACTAAATAAAAAATAAAATCTTTCAAAAAAACATAATGTTGTTTGGATGATTAAATAAATTACCCAATTTGAGCTCGTTCAAATTCTGGCGAACGTAAATCAGTAGGTTGTGCAGCAGCAACTTGTTGTCGAACATTAACAAGACGAGGTTTTGGTGTACTATTTCCTCCAATTTCATTCGATGGAGGAGCGACGCTTACTGGTGGCGTTATATTTGTTGTTGTTTGATTTAGAATACTAGATGATGGTTTTAACGATGAACGCAAGTGCTGTGATGGTAATTCTTGATGATCAATATGTCTAGTTGAATTATCTAAAGATATTGGACCAATATTTTCTTGATTATCGCCTTCGACACGATAAGCAAAACGAATTTTTTTCTAAAAGTACAAATACATCTATTTTTATAGTAGCAAAATATCAAATAAATCAGAAATTACTGATGAGAACATACCGATATCATATTGTGCATAACAGCTGAATGGAGTAAAAGATTAATACAGTCTTGAAGTAGATAATTTATTGCTGCCTAAAATCGAAAATTAATTGAATTAAAAAATGAATATAAAAAGGCATTAAAAAATAACTTACAATACATGTAGATGTTTCTTTATAGCATTTTGTCATTAATGAATTGTGATGATGAGAAAGAGATGAAAAAAATTGACAACATACATCAGCATTTTCCAATGCACTAATTGAAAAATTATTGGTTACAGAATGCAAACTCTAAAACAAAGAACTATTTGAGATAAGAAACGAATAATGAAAAAGAGAAAGACATACATCGACAATATATTCTGAACATGTTATAAATACATCAGTTACATTGTAAAAATGTTTTTCGGCCTGATTTTTATCTGACTGTACAAGACGAACATTAATGAGTAGATAAAGACGAATGACTTTTGTCCAACTTGTTTCAGTCTAAATGAAAACAATTGATTAAAATAAATGATTGTATATAGAACAAAAAAAGGTTACTGTATCAATTTCTTCATAATTTGAATGTTGTAATATTGTTTTAAATGTTGGAATTGTCCGCTGTATTATATTCGTCATATAAAACCAATTTCTTCCTTCCAATTTTTCAGTTAAGAGATAAAATAAACTAAGAATTGAATACAATACACTAACATTATCACGTTCCTAGACAAAAAAAAAAAGTAAAAATAAGAAGTATAAAATAGTGAATAAAGCAAATAAATTTTGTTATACTTGTGCTAGTTTTTCAAATATTCCAATTATATTTGTACATGTACGTTCACATTTCAATTGAGAATACCACACTTGAACTGATAATTTGGATATGAGAATAGTTAATAATTGAAATGTGTGAATTAAAGCCTAAAATATATATATGTTCTATTCTTATTTTCAATAATCTAACATGTGATAACTCAATTTTAAAATCCGTTCTTTTTTATGATAATTTAAAAAATAGGTACAAGTCAAAATTAGTATCATACTTTGGCAGCACATTTATATTGTGGTACATTTTCTGGTGAATTATGAACACATTCATCACAATAGTCAATAAAACTGAATAAATGTACTAATATTGTATTGATTCGAATTGGTGCAAGCTGATCTTCTAAAAAAAAATAAAAACGAAAAAAAATTATTACATTTTTGAGACTAAAACAGAATTCATTCCTGGAAGAATCAAAAGAAGATACCAAGACCGATTTCGACTTTTCTCAAGGGACTCGTCAGGTGGTTTCCTTCCAGAACGACAGAGTTAAGGCACAAACAAGCAACATAATTCCGTTCACACTATATGAGGATGTTACTATTCCTTGTTCTTATCGAATAAAGAACATAACTTTCACACGACGAGAGTGGAGCACGATATCACTGTACATTGCACATATTCTGCTTCTCTCCATTAAGTATTTCTTTTCATTCTATCAGAAACGATTCATCTTCTTAAACTACCAAGCAGTTGTAAAATTAACTAAATATAATTATTATTCAAGTCGAGTTTCACATTTATATAAATTTTTTTGAGAATATTAATAAAAAGAAAAAAAATCGTATACCTGTCGTTTCAAAATATGAATTAAGTACTAAAACTAACACATTCAAATAACAATATTTCACATAAATTGAAACATATTCTGGAACAAGTACATCGTCACATAAATCAAAATAATTATAAATAATTTCATTTATTTGCAATTGTGTACTAAAAAATATAGATGAACAAAACATAAATGAATGAATTAAAAATAAATTTATATACGTACGATTTCCATTTTAATATCGAATTTAATGAAAAATTTAGACAAATAACTGCTATTTTCATACATGTTGAATCACTACGTAACAAAGTACTTTTAATTATAGCATACAATTCATTTAACACTTTTTCACGACCAGGCAATGGTAATTGAATATTTTCATCCTATAATTACATTCAAAAAAAAAATATATGTAAGTTATAATCCAATTTTAATGAAATATAAATAGAAGAGAAAATAACTTACATTTAAACATAAAAGTGTTTTAGCAAAATACATTATTGAATTAAAAAATGTGAATGATAAACATTTTTCATTTAGACAACCATCAGAAATATCATGTTGAAAAAATGTATGACTAGCCTTTAAAATGAAAAAGAAAAATGTCTACAATCTAATAAATGACTCAGACAACGAAATCAGACCTTTAGCCAATGTAATAGATAATTTTCTTTTAATAATTTATTTAACATATCATAAAAATCACGATTTGTCTGTTCCCTAGAAAATGTACAAGAGAATGATGACAAAAATTTTGTCATTTACAATCACATACGTTGTATAATTGAGAAGATGTTGTGTTAATAATCGAAATGATGCTGAAACAGCTCTTTTATCACCTTCATCCATTAATTCAATTTGAATTGATAAATTTGAAACAGGTGCACCAACATCATTCCAAAAATCGGTACTATAATTTTAGAAAAAAAACAAAAATAAATTAGATAGAATATTAATTTCAGATAATACGTTTTACTTACGTTTTAAGAAAATATTCGACTAGCATTTGATTTCGTTGTTCCCATAGTTTTGATATAAATGATAATGTTAAAATAAAAAAATCATTAGAGGCTACATCATTTGGATTCTAAAATGATATTTTAAGAAAAAACAAAACAAAAAAATGAAAAATATAAACATAGCTAAACAGACATACTTTTGTACTCCATCGAAGTAAATCGATAATTGGTTTTAGAATACTAGCATTGCCAAATGTACTGTTTGCTGTTGTTATTGTAGTTGTTGATGGTACAGCTGCATTTATATCACATAGATAACCGGTTAACGCTGGCTGAGAGACAACACATTCAATTAGAAAATCGAGTATTGACATAACCAAATTTGGATACTAAAAAGTAGAATGATAAATGACAATAGAAAAAGAAGAAAAAATTATGTTTTTAATACTTTTCGATCTTGAATATTTTGAATAATAAAAGTACGAAAACGTTGAACTTTATCATCAAGTAAAACGTATAAACCGGGTGTGATCTAAAAATAAATAGAAATAATATCTTTTCAATTTTAAGATTTCATTTTTTTATTTTATTTAACAATATTTACTTGACATATACTTGTTAAACATCGTAGACAAATGGGCGATTTTGTATCATTAATTCGTTGTAACGAATAATTAACACAAACACGTATTAATTGTTTTGATGAAAATTTATTATCATTTGTTGTTGATTTTGTTGAAACAAGATAATTAATTAATGATGATACAATAGCCATAGAATTATACAAACAAGATTGAGTGACTACTCGATTTTGATCGGATCTAGATAAAAATGATAATTGATAATTATCTCTATTAGAAGAGTAAATGAGATGATAAACATACAGATCATCACGTTCAATTCCATCACTACCCGATACAATACAGTCAATGATTGTTTCAATAACAGTCGGATGAAGAAGCCAATGATAAACAAATTTTTTTAGATCATTTATCGGACTAAAAAAATAACAAAAGACAATTTTATAGATTTTTATTTTTTTTGAATAATTTGAAAATTTTTTACTTGGATTGATCGTTTAGTGTTGTTGCTGTTGTTGTTGTTGTTGATAATGATGATGATGATAGTAATGATGACATTGTTTTAAGAATTAATGACCAAATTAATTTTAAACACATATCTTGAACATCAATCATTTTTTTTGTTGTCACAGATTTCGGAAATATATGAAATAATATATGAAGAAGGGTAGCACGAAAACGTTCATGTTGAAAACTAATCTAAATAAGTAAGACGTCATGATATCAAATAAAAAAATTTTAATTTTTTTATTTAACATACATTCATTGTATTCTTTATAAATTCTACTAATGTAACTAATACTTGAATCCATTCATCAGAACTGTTATCCATACATAATTGTTCGATTCTACCCCAATAGCTACTATCAATTTCGGAGATTCTAAAAATGAACAAAACCATAAAAGATTTTAACCATTTATTCTAATGAATGAGAAACTTTTTACTGTAATGATGGACCAATATGATTATTTGCCGATGAATCAATAAATGATGGAAATATGTCAGAATTGATAAATAATAGGGTTAAATCTGAATTAAAACATTTAGTAGAAATATATAAATTAATAGAATAATGAATAGAATTTACCTTTTGCATTGCTCATCATTTTGATAATACTTTTAATTACTTGAGCTGATACAATTTCTAATTTGCATAAGCTAAATAGATAAATGTGTATGTAGGATATTAAAAAAAAATTGAATAAAATAATCAATAAACCTTGGAAGAAGATAAATTGTTCGAAGAACAATGCCATTAAATTGATCAAAATATTCTGGACAATAATAGAGCATTGTCGATATACATTCGATAATGGAAAATGCTTTTTGTAACAATTTATTCTCATTTTCACCTAAATTCAAAGATCATTTGAATATAAAATTATTTTAGTATTAAAGTAAATGTTTTACTTTGTGATAATAATATCTGTTTACGATCATAAACACTCAATTTTTGAACATAATTCAATGCATGATCTAGTATTAACAATAGTATTGGTTGTGGATCATATTTTAGAAACCAAATTATATATTGATTATTTAGTTGGTTCTTAATTAAACCTCGAGTATCCTGAAATATTGTCACAATACCTAAAGAACCAGAAAAAAAAGTATTTAACGATGTATATTATGAAGTGCATACTATAAAACAGATAGTACTCTAATGATAATGATAATTATTAAACAAAAACTGATCGAGAAGATTTTAGTATAAAATTAGTCATAGTACAAGTATTGTACAAGTATTTCTTTTCACAATTTATATGGAATTTTTATTCAACATTACTTTCTGCATTGTCATATAATATCAACTTTTAATCAACTTATCCATTTGTCTACCGTCGCCTCTTAGCTAACACACGACCCTCTTTAACGGCTGCGACAGAAATAATGTCCCTCTCCGTATTTTCTCAATATCTCGGTCAAGGTTGATCGCCAAGTCTCAATCTTTTTTTAAAAAGATTCCTCATTCAATTCTCTACACAAAACATATGAATACTTCTGTATGCACTATATGAATAAAAAAATATAGAAAAAATATGGCAAAACTTCAATATCAATTGCTTTCAAATCCAAAAAACAGGTTTCAGTCTCTAAATATTTTGCGATATGAAAAAAGAGAAAATAGCCATTTTTTAGTTCTCGGAAAGCTCTATCAACTGGCTATATTTAAGATCCTTCATAGGCTCAAGCGGTTGCAGGAGGATTTATTTTTCTTTTAGCGATTTTTGTCTAAAATCATCATTTTCTAATTGCAGTTTTGAAGCACTTAAGAAAATTTGTATGATTCGGTCAAAACCACACATTATGAGATCGGGTCTGAGTTTAAAACAAAATAATTCTTCTACTACATCCGAACAGCGAAAGTTGAATAGTCCCATTTCGTTTCCTGTGCCAAGGTGAAGAAATCAAATTTTTCCTTCTTTTTACTTTTAGTAAAATCTTCATTCGTGGCAGAAAAAAGGGTTAGTAGCGAATTTATGCTATAAAAAAAGAAAGGTGACATTCTGGAATATCAGAAAATGCGTTTCGATTCCACTTTGATGCATAGCACCGTGTTTAAAATAAATATTTTTTAGTTGCGCTTTGGATTTGAAAATAATTGATATTGAAGCTCTCTCGCATTTTCTCTATATTTCTTTATTCATATAGTATATAAAGAAATGTTCAATATGTTTTGTGTAGAGAACTGAATAAAAAAGAATTGAGACTTGGCGATCAACCTTGACTGAGATATTGAGAAAAAACAGGGAGGGATATTATTTCTGGCGCATCCGTTATAAGCGAGAGTGATAATCTATGAAAACCAACAAGAAGGTGCCGGCAATTCAGAAAGATAACAGAACTTTTTTTTATCACTCTTTTTCTGCTAGTCAGATAGAGTTGATCGAGTTACCTAGAAAAAACTTACTTTTAGGTTTTCGGAAGACATTTTTTGGTAGAAAAATTTTAGAGTATTGACTTTTTAAAACGGGTAAAAATGAGGACATTTTTGAATAATAAGCAAACTTTTCATGTTTGGTCGTCTTTTAAAATTCCAAACTTGCAAAGTGAGTCTGTAAACCTAATTTTGGGAACTTTAGAAGCCAAAATAGACTCAGAATCTGTGCAATGCGAGCAGAATGGAAAACGCATTGCCGGTCAATTTTGCAAACCTATATTGTTATAGTCCTAGGGTTTTGGGGATAAAAGTCTTTCTTTTATTGTATACTGGTCGACGTACTTGAGGGGGAAAAGCTGAATATTCTTTTCTGGAAAATTTTGTTCCGTTACCGAGAAAATTCAATCTTTTCGAAATCAGTGAAAAAATAATAAAATCGGGCTCGTATTTTGCCATGTCCTCTATCAGAATTCAACTTTTCGACAAAAATAATGTCGTTTTCAGAATCAGGATTAAAAACTGATTTGAAACAGGTGTGTTTTGAAATTTTTAGATAGTTTTGAATTTTGAATTTTGAGAAAATCGAGAAAAACCGAAAAGGTACGGACTAATCTATAAACTCCCAAGCACACATGTTTCAATTCAGTTTTTAACGTTGATTCCGAAAATGATATTATTTTTGTCGAAAAGTTGAGTTCTAATAGAGAAAACGGCAAAATACGAGCTTGATTTCATTTTTTTTTCAAAAAGAATTGCCGGTACTCTAGTATCTCTATTCCTGTTTCATTTTGCATTAATTTAACTTTTAATAAATTATTTAATAATCAAAGGATACAGAATTTTATGCTTTATCGACCATTGAAAAAAATTACACAAAGTATCATTGAAGTAAAGAAAATAATTAGCATAAATTATTTAACATATGAGCGCCGAATTATTGTATTGACGCTCATGTTTTTCTTGCAAGTCGTTATAGAATTATAAAAGAGAAGAACAAATGAATGGAAATAAGGCTTTTTCATAATTAAAATTTATTAAATAAATCAATTTTAATTTAAATAGAATGAGTTTTTAAAAGAATTTATAAGTAGAATATTTTTTCCTTATCACACTATTATTTTTATAGTCGACTGAGAGAAATAATGAAGCTCAACGATGATAGAAAATGATAATCGATCAAAGTCAGAATAAAAGGATGACAGAAAAACCTAGAACACAAGTATGTTATCATGAAAATTTCACAAGTACAAAAGAGAAAGACATTGCACACTTCTATATGAAATACAGTATTGTCGTCACACCGAAATACTAACATATAGTACAGTGACGAAAACAAAGCCGATAAATGACCTATTAGAAAAAAATAAAACAGCTTGATGAATATTCTCCAGCAACCTTAGGAATAAAAACGATAAGATTCAAAAGATCAATGAGTAGAAATCTTTTATGAATTTCAAAAACAAATTACTGGCATTCTTTAATGAAAATAAGTAGATAAGACATCATTTTATTCGTTGACATTTGTGAGAAAATCATGATAAAATTCATTCAGTTGAATTCCGATTATATACAGAGAGAGAGCGAGAGAGACTAGGACACTTCATCTCAATATCCACAGCTAATACTACAAACGTTCTTCCTTTGTGTAGACTAATAAAAAGACTGCGAAACAAAAATGTCTTCTGAATTCAAAGTTGACAAATTTCATTAAACTTCGAGTAAGACGTTCAAAAATTTATGATATTAAACAACAGTTGAATAACAACGATGTTTCACAGCAAGTATTTAATAGTCGAAAATCGACATTGTCATCATTTCAATTGAAACGATTAATGGATAATATTTCTACTCCTCTTAAACGAAATGATATATTAACAAAATCGAATTATTATCAATTTAATGATCAGAAAAATATTCATCATCGTCGAATAAGACTGAAAAAATTCAAATCAAAACAAAATTCTAATATAAAAGAAATTGATTATAATAAATTAGAAATATTGTTTGATAATATAATTAAATGTAAAAAATCAATCAATATTCATAGATGGGATGATTTCTATCAATCAAAACTTAAACAATCGTTGATACCGATTGTTAATGACAAATATAAAAATAAGTATATCTCTGACATACAAATTACAAAAAAAAATTCATTGTCTACATTGGCAAAAACCATAAATGTGGTTGATAAAGGAAAAGAAAAAGATGATAGACGAATCGATCTTATATCTCAAAAACGTCGAACAGAAATTATTTATTCTCAACGATCACGACTGAGAGAAATTAAACAAGAAATTGGTTGCTGTTTAATACAATTCGCAAAATCACATCAAGTTTTAACTTTAATTATTCTTGCAACAATATCGTTCACATCCGGATTTTTTTGTATAGTCATTCTAAAACGAACATATTTTTCTCTCCTTTTTTTCAAACAATAATAAGCGTATGGAATTACATTTTAGTTTTGACAAAGCATTATCCATGCAGTGATATGCATCACACTGTTTCGTCGAAATGTGGATGAGTTTTATTGTCAATAAATCTTAAAAGGAATGTAATGATATAATGAAAAGAAAATATATGCCAAATCGATATGAACAGTAACAGAATAGAAAATATGAAATCAAAACGACAGCATGGTTTGACGGTTATGTTGTTCATCACACACTTCAATGGTACTAAATTGATCCTTGACACCGTCTTGTCGTGTAATAATATCAGATAAACAATAGAAATAGCAATAATAAACTAGATCTTCATAGATCGGTCTCCGTCTCCGGTAGTTGTAATAATAAATAAAGAATTTGTTAAGTAAATGTGAAAAACGAAAATCCAATACAAACTGAAGACAATAGAGCGCCGTTAGAAACGAAAATAAGAAAAATAGCAGAAATAATTGGTAAAAGCATATAATCTACATTTTACTTCAGAACAGTAGTACCTACATATATGAACCCACTGGTAGGAAACACCGTCACCATATAATAAAAAAAAAGTCCGTAGTAGTATAAGTATAAAATGCTTCCTTCAGAAAAAGTTTGGATCCGAAATGTATTTTTGACCACTTTTTGCTGGAAACTTCAGTAATCCAGATATAGCTCTAAAACCTGAAGTCGTACAAAGTCGATCTGGAGAGAGCCACACAAGCATAGCCAAAAATCAACTGAAAATGTCATGGTCGTATAGGCGATCAGATTTCGCTTAGAAACGGACATTCCAAACAAGTCAATGAGATGTAAAGACTACAAATATCAGCAGTTCGATACCTTGCATTCTCTCATCTACAGCCTTTACGGAAGCTCGCGTCCCGTAAAATAATAAAATTAAAAGGATGAGAAAAATAACCTAGCAACGAGTAGGAGAAAATCAGCAAGGCTCCTGACTCTGTCGCCTTAAAACCTATCGTTTTACAAAAAATGTTGATACGTCAATTATATTTTTTATCATATCGGCAGTTGATATAGTTATTGCGAGCAATACTTTTTTTAATACGATTGAATAAAAGTGATTCATACACTTGTTACAGACCAGCTATACTACGAAATGTTGAGCAAATATTTTTGTTAGCAAAAGAAAGACAAGTAGTGTTATACCAAGAATACATTGAAGAAAATACACTAGCACAATAAAAGTTTTCTACTGGTTGGTAAACTAGTATTACTCTATTGTCTATGATCACGAATATGACAAAAATGTCATTGAAGGTATGACATGATTACTGCTGAAAAACCGTTCAAACACACGTGATAGAGAAACTGAAGTAGAGAAACGTGTGACTATTCGAATTTAACTCTGTGTTGTCATGTCTACCAGTGAATCTAATGAAAGTACAAAATAACTGTTTAATTTCGTTTTTAATTTATTTTGGAATAAAATCTTCTTAAATGTATCATTAGTATTTGTACTCTTTTTTTGTATTGTCTCTTTACTTTTTTTTTTCTTAGAAAAGAGCGTATGCTCATTCAAACTATCGGTCGTCATTGTTCATTCAATCGTCAACAGTCAAAATTAAATTGGTTCTGGCAACAAAATCCATTTAAATTTGGACGATGTATGAAACATCATTTTAAAAAAAAATTCAAACTATTTACAAGAAAAAACAAACTAAATAAATCAATAATGTCTTCCTCATCGTTGACTGGTAATAAATATAAAAATATTTCTAACATGAATCAGAATATGAATATGAATACATCCACACAAGATCAAGATTCGATATATATCACAGCAAGACCAACACATCAATTATTTTCTCATCGAAACAATATACAATCGATATTTTCATCCTTCAATAGAAATGAAACAAGTTTAAAGAAAGCATTATCATTGCCATTAAACGAAACGTTAGAGAAACAGGAATCAATAACAACAACAGTCAACATTCCATTAGCCCCACCATTTCCATTAACCTTCATCAAAACGTCACATTCAAAAACAGTTCAAAATCTGAAATCAAGTGATTTTAATGCTTCAATACAAGCTACCAAAGAAACAAATTATAATCGATCAATAACACCTTCCGGTAATACAAGAATTTAAATTTGATAATAGTCTTAACATTCTTAACGTGCTTGAAGAAATTATTGCCGATGAAAAAACATGACAGATTGCAAAGTATCTCAGATAACGTGCTGGAGTATGTTATTCGACTTTAATACCTCTCTTATTCGCATTTATTCTCGTTTTAGGTACAGATCTCTCGTTATCGATGATAATACGACCAAGTAAATTAAATAAAATACCAAAAATTATTCAAACAGTTCCATTTCATCATGCTAAAACTTCGTTAAATTCAGTTCATAGTCGTGGAGCAATTGTTAAACCTACACATCGATATCGTCGCCGACAAACGCCATTGACCCCTGATGTTTTAGCCATGGCAAAACTAAGACGACCAGAACATATTAAATCAAGTATAGTGCAACGTATTGAAGAATTGAAATTAGCCTCAATTCTACAGAGCACGAACAATGATAGTCATGAACAACAGTCAGAACCATCATCTGTTAATCGACGTTGTGCAAGAAATAATCATTATTCTAACCCTTCTCCCATAGTTATAGATAATGATAAACAATTATTAGTAACATGCCAAATAAAAAATGAACAAGAACGTGATTGGATTAAACAGAATAATGAATATTCAGCTGAACTATTAAATTCAACTAGTTTAAAAATAAATGAAAAAATATTTCGAATCCGCTCGATTGAGTATTTGAATGATCATACAAATAATGAACAATTAGTTCGATTTCATCTTGATAAACAACAAGAAGAACAAATAAAATCAGTAATTAATGTACATACTCAAACTACTGATCGAACAATGTTACCAAAATGTTTTATGACAATCAGTACTATAACCATATTAATAATGAGTGTATGGCATCTAACGGAAAGTGCATTAAATACATTATTAATACCTAGTTTACAATTATTATTAAATATGACGTATGTGTTTATATTAATTACATTAGCTATCGCATTAATGTCAGGAACTACAGGTAGTAATGCAGTTTAACGAAAACCTTCTATCCTTGTTCATCTACTTGTAAGTCGATTTCTATCTGTCATAGAAAAAAATCTTTAGATTGATGTATTTCTATCGATTAGGATATAAATGAATATGCCTGTTATCACGAACAATGTTCGTTATTGATGAATTATCAACTACTGTTCTTTACCAAGAAGTTGTTCATCTATGCAGGACTCGTACGCCTACTGTTTCAACTTAATGAATTTAGTGTAATAAATAATAAAAAAATAAAGCTTACCCGGTCCATATGGATAAATATTCGCTACTGCTATACATTCGTCATCTGTTCCAACTAATGCTATGTCAGCATCTTTAAACATTTGCACTGATTCAACAAATTGATCACGTTCACATAAATAAATAATCTAAATGAACAGAAAAAGTATGAGCAATTAATTGCTAATAAAATAAATAAATAAACAAATAACTTTACAATACTATTCGCTTTATTTGAATTTGCCTTCATTATCAACGTATATAAATCTAAACATGATTCTAACGATAATGGAAAATAATTTTCAACAGATGATATATGATCAAATAGCACATGTCCACTCTAAACAGACAACAGAGAGTAAAATTGAAATAAAACTTTTATTTTTAATACATACTTTTTTTAAAATATTTTCAACGACAGTTTTATCATTCATACATTTTTTTACTATACTAATCAACTGATCGCGACTAACAAATTTTTCATAATCAAATATGGATGAAAATAAATCAATTAAATCAAATGTAACACGATAAATTATATTTGATGCAAGCTAAAAGATAAACAAATATGAAAATACAAAACAAAAATATTTGATATTAACTATACCGATTGAATTGATTTGAATAGATCAATACGCGATGAAAGATGATCAAATACATTATCACGTTTAGCTGCAGCAGCAAACTTTTGAATTTGACGATCTATGTGTGAAAGAAAAGAATGTTGTTGCTTTGAAGTAGTACTCATATATCCATCATCTAATTTATTTACCTTCACTGTCATATTTGTACAGTAAGGTAGCCCATGCTAACTGTGCAGTAGAACAATTCTTTACGTTAAATAATGTTGAAAAATTTGTATTTAATGTCTAAAAAAATAATCAATGTGGTATAACAGGAAAAAAACTCAGATATATTCAGTGGATCTGCACTTAAGTATTATGCCTCATAGTTTATATTAATTCTGAGATGCTTTTCTTATTTAATACATTTTTCAATATGTGAATAGAAAGTAGAGGTGTGCAACCCATGTTCATTTATATATAGACGAACTCATCAGTCATCATATCCCGTTTTATACCTAGAGATAACATCGTTGTCGTAACGTAATGCCAAATAAACTCAATTTAAAGGAAGAGTGCAGCAATTTTTACAATTTAATACATTTCCGTTGACTTCTTATAAGATGTGATCGTTATATCGAGCGTTTAAATTGGTATTTCATAGTACTTGATAAAAAAAAAGATATAATTACTTGAAACACTTGTATATCATGAAATACAGGATGTTCTTGTAATGGAAAATTATTTTCTTCAATTATATTAAAACGAGATAATTTCATTCCAGATATTAAAATATAAACCAACAGTGTATTTAAAATTTTATGTTTTTGATTTAATGCCATATCGGGTTGAAAATAAATACGAATTGAATTAAATTTATCAAACTAAAATAGATAGACAAAAGTCTAATAAAATTTAATAAAGACTAGACTAGTTTTAAACACAAAAAATAATTTATTCATACTTGAAACAACTCAAAATATTTCAATAGGATTTGAGGAGATTCATTATTACAACGATCAATAATTATGAGTGCACATTCTAATAGTAAACGCATTTCATTGTCATGAGCATTTGTCCATATTGTACGTAACATATCGGCCTACATAATTAAACAAACAATCATTTTAAGAGAGAATATAAGATTCATTTAATTAACATACCGTCAATGGACTGTACATCGAATTCCAAGATGGACATGATACATTTGTCAAAACTGAAAATTGAGTTAACATCTATTGAAAATGAAAAGGGAGGAAGAAATATATAGCTCCGACTCAATAAAAAACAACAACCAAAAGTCATACGGGCAATACTGTAATAAGAAACATTATTTTAAAAAATAAACATTTCTTAAATACTTACTTTTTTGCATAATTCTATTTCAGAACCGAACCAACTTTTAGCCTATAACAAAATTAGTAAAGAGAGTATTTTTATCTTTGAATAATTTTATTTATATAATATTACCTTCTTTATGTTTTCGGAAGTAAGAATATCGTGTACAATTGATAAAAGGGCATAACGTTCATTGTAATAATATTGGATAAACTAGAAACCGAGAAGATTTTTTCCTCCTCAATATAAACATGTACAGATAAAAGTCACAAGAAATCTTACTTGTACAACAAATTGTTGATTTGTTTCATTCATGTTATCCGGTGATGAGAGCATTATCTAAAAATTCAAAGAAAAATAAAATACGATTAAATATTTAACATAAAAAATTTTGGCATACATCGATATTCTCCAGTGTTGAATAATTATTTGTCGAAAAAAATTCTAATAATTTGAATAATTGAGCTTCATCGATATTCTAAAGGTAAAATAAACATTCAAAAATAAAACACTAAAATGTAAATAGGCTGCTACATACAAGTGCATTCGATAAATTTTGAAGAAAAGATCGAAATTTCTCGCTGAAATTTGAAGAGTTTTGTTTAAGCCAGCTTCCAGCTGGACTTCTAAAAAGAAAAAATTTAGTACTTAGAAAGGATAACAGATACGCTGATTATACAAACCTGATTGGATGAAACCAATCCAACACATTTTCAAATATGGTTTTGTCCTGAAAATTATCTATTTTTTTAACTTTAATATCATTATCTGATTCTAACAGTACGCTTTTGTATAGATCCTGAATCGACATTCTAATCTAAAACAGAGAAACTCTCCAATAGATCAATCAATCTCGAACTGTATGATCATTGTTTTGTTTAGCTATGTCTAAAACTAAAGTCGATAAACTTGCTATTGTGAAACAGTGAAAAGCTAATGAGATGACGTATGTATTTCATGTAGGTTTAAAATATTATGTAAATCTCTGCCCTAGTAAATGATATCATTTAGTCACTTCTGAGATTTACAGTTGTCTTATAAAAGCCAAGACAATCACTTAAGTAGTTTTCAAGAGATTATTTCTCCAGAAACGTTACAAACAAGGTTTTGAATAAATACATGTTTTAGTTCTTTCACTTGCTTTAGCGGCTGTTTATTATCAATTTTACGAGTGAAATCGACTTTTTTGTGGTGTTTAATACAACATTTACAGAAATAAATTTTCTCCAGTGGCCGCTTCATGAACCTTCTTTCTCACGTTTTATTCTCCTTCACAAAAATTGGAGGTAACGGTCCCGCATGCAACTTTAACAAATGCTTCTACCGACACGCTCCTTCATTTTAGAAGCGTATTGTAAAAAAACACGGCAAAATTGTGCCATCATTATATCACGGGTACAATCACACAACAATTTTAAACGCTAAACGTGTGACTTTAAGTGTGAAACTCCTATGCTTTTACAGTGCTTTTCCGGGACAGTATCGGGGTATGGGATCTCTTTCTTTCTCTATAATAAACTCATCTCTGCTGATAGGCTGTTTAAATTTTAACTGCACACCTATTAGACGAGTTTATGTTGACAGTGCCGACAGCAATAGCCCTACCCGCGAACCGTTAGTTTATTTCACTTTTGAAGTAAAGATCAGCTCATGATATAAACTTGCAAGGAGGAAGGAAACAACTATTGTACTCGACTTCGGCGTGACAGTTTTCCGTGTTTTCATTGGTCGCCATAAGCCAATGAAACGTTTCTTTTATATAAGGGTGTATTAGATTAGATCAGAGCCTTCTCAAAAAACCACAGTAAAAGCGTAGCAATGTCGCTTTAATTAAAGTTAATTTTTCAGATATGTTATTATATCAATTTCGGGTTTGAATACTAAAAGTTAAATTTGAGCTTGGCCTTAACGCATCCTTCAATTCTCATTCATATCATCGGAAGAAAACATAAAGTTTTTTTTTCAGTTGTTAAAAAGTGCTTTTCGGTATTGAGCACACTCGATAAAAACGAAGATTTTCTATTTTTGGCGAGAGGTACTGCCAAAAGCTTAGGAAAAGTTTTGAAACAAAATGGCGCAAAAAATTTTCCATGGGAAAATAATTTTAGTTTGAAAAATTTTCCTGAACATTTGAAAGTACTCCTAGGCAAAAATAGAAAGTCTTCGTTTTTATCGAGTGTGCTCAATACGAAAAAGCCCTTTTCACCAACTCAAAACCAACTTTAGCTTTTTTGTTCTAGTGGTATGCACCTTATTTCTCTCGTTCAATATCTTTTATATAATGAGGAGGTGAAGAACAAAAACGATGACTCGCAGAGTCTTTTGCATCCAGTCTCAATGACGTTTGCATATTCTAATTACCCATTTTCTAACAGCTTAATCTTTGTTTCACGTAATTCTACATGTCTGTTTTGATGACTTCATAACAGAAAGTACAAATTAGTACTTTTCTACGAAAATTTAGTTGTCCTTGGAATGGAGCTCGCCATGTTGGCCTACAACAGCAAAAAATGATATCGGGTCATGCCTTTTGTCAAAAGATAAAGCTTTGAAGAATTTATATTGAATTATCTGTATAATTCTGCTTGTAGAAAAAGAATACTGAATCCTCCTATCAGTTCTATATCTGTATGCTCTTCTAGAATTTTATTCTTTCTGTGTTGAAGCGAAAAAATAATCTATATGGGAAAAAAACTACTGTTAATCGTTGGTCTTATTGCATTAGCTCATGCTGGCTATTCGGCTGCTCAACATCGTGTTTTTATTCGTTTAACTGAACAACAATTCCAAACATTACCAGCTGATATCATTTTTCAAACATTATTAGCATTTTTAGCTTGTTGTATTGGTTCTGTACAGTTTTTTGGTAGATTCAAGCCAATATTGATAACAGCTGAATGGCAAAATAAAACATGGGATACGCTTGGTAATCGCCCATCATTTATGACATTTAACCATCGTGGAAGATATCTTTATCGATTTTTACAGGCATCGTCCTCAACTTGATTTGTTTTTCTTTTTTTATTGTTTTCTTTTTTTTCATTTGATTTTATAATACGTTTTTTTACAAAGAGATGCATCTATCTAAGTCATTGCAGCATATGCTCTCAGTAGAGATTTTTGGTTTTAATAAGGAGAATATCTGTCTTTTCTCTGAGCAAATTCATCCGTCTTGAACGAGATCGATATAATACTGCGAGACTAAGTAGAATTGTTCTTTCTAATTGAATTCTGATTCACAATGGTATATTTCATTTAGTACGATTTACCACTTTCTTTAGCTACTGCGTTTATTAAACAATCACTCGATACATACTTTTACCCATGGTTAATTTTTTGAGAAAGTAAATCATACCAAATGTGAACGCTAGTTTCTCTAGGCTCCATTATATTGAATCAATTAAAAAGAGAGAAGCTAGTACAAATATTCGAACGAAGTTAACAGTGAAATGGGTAATATGATTAGCATTCCTTCAAAAATTTAAACGGTTTTTCTGTGTGGTTTTTGTGTTCACAAGAATAGATGATCCTTTTTCACTCTATGTTGGTACAGTAATACACATTATTACTAGACTAGGAGAAAAATCATAGACTTAGAAGTGAAGATTTTTTCAAGAAGTTTCACCATTTGTCGAGATTTTTGAAATTCATACATCAACGTTAAAGTGACATCTACTTAAGTGGAAAAAAACGGCATAAAAATATTTAGACGATATTGTTTATGTTTCACAACTAGTTTATTAGCGCAGCATATAGATTTATCGTTACTATGTTCTCGTATTGTCTCATCATCATTTCATAGTGATTTGCAATAGCTTTATGCGTTCCTAATGTATCGGAGTTGTTCTTTCGAAAACGTACCACGTTTACATCGACTTTATCCCAACAGTTCGAAAGCAATAGGACTAGTACAACTAGAGCTCCTGATGATGAATATCACGTTTAAAAGATTTT